TATAATTTGTATAACGAGAGGAATGACTTCTGAACTATCAGGCAGAAAAAGGTAGAGAGAGATGAAGTGGCTGCACAGGTAAGGTAAGGGAGGGGAAGGGAAAAAGGACAGCCAAGGCGCTATACAGCAGGTACATTAAAAAGAGATGAACACTGGGGAACCTTGAAGTTGTTTTAACATATTACCAGTTACCGGTCCCTTAACTCCTAAGTATTCACAAAGTGCAAAAGTACACCTACCTCATTAAAGATAATGACCAGCTACTTCCAATTTTGATGAAAACACAGAAAAAGAACAACAATAATGAAAACTAGAATTTCTTGAAAAGACTCTTGAGCACAAACAGCTGCCAATCCTTACAACAATTCTGCAAGGGAAATGATTTCCCCTTTTACAGATGAAGAAACAGACTGCCATGGATGCTAACAAAAGTCCTCAGGGTCACACAGGAATAAGTAAGTAGCAGAGCCAAGGTTTAGCGGAAGGTGTTCTTACTTCAAAATGTCTTTACATTAATGTACTGATTCTCAAAGAGTATGCTTAAGTATAATTAAATGAGAACTAGAGAATTTCTTCTATTTAAAAAGAGTAGAATGAGTTAGGTTCTGAAAATTTCCTGGTTTTGAGTATTTTACCATGGTCCTTCAAGATACTCACAAAGGAGAAGCCAGGTGAAGGCTACGTGGGAATGCTATTATTTTTGTACTTTTTTGTGACCTAAGTTTATTTTTAAATAAACTTTTTAGAAATAACAGGAATGACCTTTTTCAAAACATTACCTAGCTCTCTTTACTTTGCAGAGAAAGATATATATAATATCTATATATAATATTAGACATATGATATGTATGTGATATAAACATATTATAATGTTTATGTTAAACTATATAATATTTACTATATGTTTCTATTAAATTATATGCTAATTTAAACATATAATTAAAACATATTATATATTATATAATTCAAAGTAGCTATAGATCTCATATAGTCCATATATAAATATATATTTGAGATATGTAAGAGATAAACATATTTCTGAAAATATAGATACAATTATGTATTTTTAAAAACTCATTCTCTGTTGTGTTCAGTGACATAAATACCACAAGAAACAAAATAATGGATTCTTTCTACTCCCAGTCAATTTTAATAAACTTTAAATAAACATTTTTTAATAAACATTAAATACCTATTACTACGTAGCATTGTACTATTTTGCCTAAACGAGTTTATCTGTTCCAACACTAGAGGTTTTTCTTTTTGTTCTTTGTTCACCTTGTTCACATCCAGGCACCAGAAAAATAGAACTACCACTTATATCTAAATTGAACATCATGAAAATAAAGTGTCCAGCTCATATTAAAAAGACTGTTTGATAAGAAAATTTACTTTTCTTCTAAGAATTATTGAGCCACTTCTTTTCCAGTAGGATAATTTTGAAGCAGCTACAACTTGTTGAGTGACTTCTGTGTGTTATTAAATTCATGTACCATCCCACCAAATGACATGAAACACCATAGCCGTTTTCCATATAAGGAATGCTAGACAGATTAATTTGCAAAAGTCATGCACCTATCGAGTGAAAAATGTGCATTCAAACTCAGACCTACATGACACTAAACATACTACCCCTTTCAGAAACTATCTGACCCTCCACACTTTCACTCCTATGCTTTGAATGAACCTATTGTATTATTTACTAACAACCCCTTAATAGCAAAATGTCCATTTTAAGCCCATTTAGACACTTTAAAAAAAAGCCTCAACCTTCATTCCTGGCTCCTACTTGAAGTTAAAAGTTTATTACTGAAGCTGAAGAAAAGTCTTTTAAGTATGGAAGAAATGCAAGCGGCATTCCAAGCAGGAATATGTGTGTGCTCAAGTGGGAAACATGAGAGGAGCATCTGCCAAGTTCATTTTGGCCTCATCTGATGCTATCTCACTGATCTGGGGCCAACTTACATTTGTTTCTCTCTCCCTCTTTCTCTCCTCCCTTTCCTCTTCATTCCAGAAGCATACAAAAACCCTAGCGTAGAAGCTGGATCGAGTTGCCAAGAATACACTGAAAACACTATCGAATAAAGAAACGTCCATCTAGTCCAAGGATAGTCTCATTTCAACTAATAATCTAGAGCACTAAAATAGAACAAGTCTTTATGGGACGAAATAACGACTGGAAAAAAATTACTTAAATATTGATTTTTAAAAACAGATTTTTGGAGAGAAATTCTCAAAAGAACTAATTTAATGTCTTTTAATTTGTACATATCACAGGGCATTATAATTTACTATGAGTCAAACTTAAAATCGTACTTTTTAATTCAAACTTTTCAAAAGCCTTTAATTATGTTTAATTCTACTTCCAGCTTTTAACCCCAGCACTGATCCCTATCTGTTCAACTCTGATGCTAATGAATCTCATATTTCTGATACTTGTAACTAAACACGACCAGAATTGGGCATTAGTTTTGAAAGTCTAAAAATTGCATGACACTCTCTTTCATGTCAAACTACATTGGCAATCGTTTCAGTTCACTACATGTAACTAGTAGTATTTTCTTTAAAGGACGCACTCAGTTCTCAATCAGTTATGCTTTTCAAAATGGGCAAAGTAAAAATAGCTAGATTTATATTTTTAAAGCCATGTCGGTGTTTTCCCCTTATAGTAATACCATATACTACTCTCAGTTCTCCCCTTCCAACTTCTTGGTAAATTAAGGAACTATATTGTATTACCACGACAGCAAAGAAAAAGTACTTTTTCAAATAACCAAACATACAGGTTAAAGAATCCTGTCTTCTCTCTCATGCCACTAAATATCAGCTAACAAATACTGGAATGCCAATGAGTATTTCCATTTGCCCCATTGCCCAAAAAAGATAAGGCTAAAGAACTGTGTCAGACACTGTTAATCTCAGGATATGCCACAGGAAATAACACGTTCGCGTGTAGTGGAAGAGATAGAGTTAACACATTCTTCCTAATATGGTCACATGTATTAGACAAGATAAAATTAACAGACAATCATAATTCAGTGTGATGAGGACACAAGGATAAGCACAGGGTGCTGTGGGAATATATAGAAAGGATTTTTCCACATCCTCTGAAGAGGGGAGAAGTTAGGAGTGTTCAGAAGAGTTCCCCAATGGAAGTGATGCCCAAAAAGACTGGCGGTAAGTGTCTGCTTTGCATTTGCTAAAATTGTTCTAATAAAAACCATTGGTAATAATAAGTGTTGGGGAGGATGCGGAAAATTGGAACCCCCATACTTTGCTAGTGGGAATGTAAAATGATTCACTTTGGAAATCAGTTTGACAATTCCTTCAAATTATTAAGCATAGAATTACCCTATGCCCCTGTTACTTCACTCAACGATATATACCCAGGAGAACTGAAAATATACACCCACATAAAACCCTGTATAGGAATGTTCATAGTAGCATTATTCAAAATAGCCAAAAAATGGAAACAACTCAAATGTCCATCAGTGGATGAATGAATAAATAAAATGTACTACATTCCCAAATGGAGTATTACTCAGTCATAAAAAGGAATGAAGCATTGATATAAACCAAAAGACCATATGAACATGGGTGAAGACTGAAAACATTATACAAAAAGAAGCCAGATATAAAAACCCACAAATTGTTTGATTCTACTTTTATGATGTCCCAAATAAGCAAATATGTAGAGACAGAAAATAGATTAGTGGTTTCCAGAGGCTGGGGAGGAAAAGGGTAATGGAGAGTGACTAAAACTCAGTATAGGGTCTCTTTCTCAAGGTGATGAAAGCATACTGGAATTACATCATGGTGAAAGAGTTGCAATTTTGTGAATACACTACTACTGAATTGTCACTTTAAAATGGAGAATTTTGAGGAATATGCATTATATTTCAATTAAAAAGAGAAAAACAAAATAAGGATGAGCAGATAAGAAAGAAGAAAAGAAGGAAAATGTGGCGAGAATGGTAGGTGAGAAAGAGAAGAGGGGAGCTGCTGTGGGATCCAACGTGTGGGTGGCCCACCTTCCGTTAGGGCAAAGGCACAGAGGGCAGTGCAGCCCGCTTCTCTGGCTGTGCAGACAGAAGCTAAGGCCCGGGTGGCAAACACAAGGCCCGCAGGCTGAACCCAGCCTTCCACCTTGTTTTATCTGGCCTGACACCTTGTTTCTACCTGGCGGCAGACCTCTCTCGTTTAACTGTTAAGAAGAAGTTACATTTAAACAGCCTTAAAATTACATTTGGCCCTTTGAAGGCAACAGTGAGGCTGATGTGGCCCCCCCGCCCCCATGAAAATGAGTTTGACACCCCTGAGCTAAGCTCCCTTGAAACTATAACTTCTCTTCTGACCCTGAGATAAGTAAGCAACAAGGTGGCAGGGCAGGAAGTCTGAGGTGAATGGAGAAGGTGAAGAACAAGCTCTATAAAGAAAAGAGAGATGCCTGGAAAGTAAGTCAGTTAGTTACTGGAAGTCTTCCAGATTTGCTTAAAACAAAACAAAACAAAATGCCTTCCATGTTCAACAGTATAAAACAATCAACTTAGCCACCAAGTGAGCAGGAGATCTCAACAGATTTTCTCTTAGGTCAAGCCTCCTGGATCCTTAGACTAGAGTGTGAGAGGCTTTCCTCCACTTCCTGCTGCTTTGTCCAGCAATGTTTACATCTCCAAGGCTTTCCTACTCAGCTTAATTGTTCCAGTCCTACAGTAACCAGCTTGATTTATTTGTAATTTCCTCATATTTTATGATATTATTTCAACAACTAGGTACTGTAGACTTCAAAAACTGAAATGAATATGGCTCTTATGAAGTTTTTCATAGCCTTAGGGAAAACAAGTTTTCTTCCTTATTTACTATATCTGATTTTTCTCTTTTTAAAATTTGCATCCATAATTTTTTCAACACTAAAAAAACAAACTCTAACTTGATATGTTCTAGATCAAAACATGTAAATTTTTATTTTCCATGCATTGAAATGAATAATATTAGCTTACCTTCATTGGCAATTGATATTAAGCCAGACTCTGAACATTTTGTAAAAAGCTTCCAAATCAAGATCTAGATGTCCACGGAATGTGAAAAGGAAATAATGCCACCAGACAATTATACCTACGGACAAAAGCAAATGATTTATTAGAGCACTGTAGGAAAAAAAGGTGTTATATGGCTACTGCCAGGTGATGTCAATGTCCCAAGTCTTCAGAAGTAGTAGGGTTTGACTTCTGCTTACTAGACAAATATATAATAGTTATATTAACAGTTTTTTTTAAGCTTCGCACATAACAGGTACTGTTGCACATAGAAGCTCATTTGTTTCTTATCCCAACACTATTTTACAGATGAAAAATGTAGCGGCTCAGGATTTGAACCCAGAGGTTCTGGTTGTAGGTTCTGAGTACTTAAATCACTACACAGACTGCCTTGACTTACTTCCAGATACAATATTCCAAAGACTCCTAAAGCTTAGATGGTATGAGGAATTCTAGGTGATTTATTCCTTATTAGTTGCTAGTGTTTCTTCAAAGATATACATGTGATCCAAAATTCAAAATATTTTAAGTCAGGATGATATAAGGAAAAGAGACTTAATTAAGGTGAGGGAACCTGGGTCTAACTTTAAATTCAGCAGAGCTACAACTCATGGGTTATGTGTTGAGATGTTTCTCAAGATCAGCTATGCCTGAGTTTGCTCAACCAGTTGACCTCTAATGCATGTCTAGTTCTAAAGTTCCACACCAGTGCAAAAAGAAAGGCCATCATTCCCTGAAGCCCTCACCTCTTCCACTGCTGGTAAGTCTTCTTCTCTGGTTAGTCACTCATTACCCATTCCTCTAGGTACCGCTCAGTCTCTCTCCTCTCACACTACCAACTGGTCTCTTCCTTCATTGCATACTTGGTTAATGCTGGTCTATCCTGGATAATTTAGTCTTATTAGGTTAATAGATAATTCCGTTTTTTTCAAACTCTTTTAGGAAAGAAGCAGAGTATAAATAAATGAAAATGCATAATGTTTAATGCTCTTGAGTATTATGTATAATATGTCATGAACTGGATCGGAAACCCCTTAGAGACAGGGGTCCCTAAGAGGCTGCAGCAGGTGCCTGGCAGTACCAACTCCCTTTCTTCAGGGATATTCTCTGTGAGCTGACTCCTTTGGTGAATCCATTTACTTACATTGGCAAACATGTAAACATGCTGAGATTCACCATGTGACCTTGAAATAAGACCTGCAATCATTATATTTCCTGATTATTTCTTCCAAAACAAACATTTCTCTTTGGATCTTGATTCTCTGATTCTCCAATATTGTTTTCTTTGTGTTTTGCTTTGATCCTGTCTTTATTTCCACTTTTCTTCCTGAACATTTAAAATGTGTGGCCTTCCCCTTATAAAACAGTAAAGAAATCCTAAGGGGTGCTTAAGAGTGGGGACTGGCTTTGGGGATCAGAGAAGCATCGCAAAGGATCAGTACAAGATGTTAGTACCCACCTGTGTGAGGAGGGACCAGGCTTTCAATTACCAAATGACATTTCTTTGAACTGGCATCTCTAGTCTTTACATAAATAGGTGTTGTGTTAGTAGTTGCAATAGTAGCAACTCATAATAATAAACACTTGCATAGTGTTTACTCTACACCAAATGCCCTTTAAGCACTTCACTGGTAACAGGTAGTCCTCGCAGTAACTACATGACTTAGGTCCTATTGTTAGCTAGTTTACCAACCAGATGAGAAACAGAGAGGTCAGTTCACAGAGGGGTATCACACACCTTGTAACTGCCAGAGGCAGGACGTGAGCCCAGGTTGTCTGAATTCCGTACTCCCACTCGTAATACCATTACTCTAAACTGCCTCACCATTATTATGATTTTCATAGTGCTGCCCCTAAAACACGCTAATGTTCTGATTTTTCTCCCAGTCAGATCTGAGCGAACTTGTGTAGGTATAATAACCATACCACGTGACCAGAAAAGCCCTGATTTCACGAAATATATTTTTCTCTATACAAGAACTTCACAAAAATCCAAAACTAAAAGTCTGGCTTAATGGTCAAAGCCTGTAAGATTCTTATACAAATAACGTAAAAAATTAAGTAGATGTCAGAAACTATTTCTTTTAACTTTGTACAATAGAGTAAAAACTAAAAGTGAAGCATTCCTGTACTCATATTTAACTTTTTATTTCAAAAGAATTTCAAACATGCGGAAAAGTTGTAGGAACTGCTCAGAAATCTTCCACATTCTCTTCACCCAGAGATTCCACAAGTGGAGCCAACCACTCAAACGATGTTCTTTCCAGCCGAAGCACCTGGTACAGAATCACACGTTGTACTTAGTGGTCCTCTCTCCTCAGTCTCACTGAGTCTGGAGCGATACCCGGCCCTGCCTCGGCCTCCACTGTGCTTCTGTTACTCAAGGCTGCTGGTTAACTATTTTGTAGCGTGGCCCCGACACTGGCACTCGTCAGGTTTCCTTCAGAAGAAAAAGTCGAGGATTACATTTTTGGGAAATGATGTTGCGTTCTTCTGATTACATCCCATCAAGTGACACAGGATGTCGTTTGTCACATCACTGGTGATGGTAACGTTGAGCACTTGACTAAGGTCGAACCTTCTGAGTTTCTCCAGGACAGGTAACGTGTTGCCCTTGATAATGAGGATTTGTGGGTGACACTTTCTGGTTACACGAATACCCTGGTCCAGTCCAGCTTTCACTCACTAGTTTTAGCATCCACCGATGTGTCTTACCTGAATTGTTATAATTGCGTCAAATCACCATCTTTCTACTCTCAACAGTCTTTCTATTTATCACACAGTATCCGGCTTTAAGGAAAAAACTTTCTCTTTACCCTGCTTATGCATGCATTTATGTATATCAGTATGGCCCCAAGGACGCCTGGTTTGTTTGGAGACACGACCTATAATATCGTTACTGTTTTGATGCTCAGAGGCTCCCAGGTTTGCCTAGTGGGAACTCCTTCAAACTGGCTTCTGTCTTCTTCTGGCATCTACCCATCATTCTCTGAAAATATCTACATATTTTTTGCAAAACAAGATATTCAACACTTATTCGGCACCTTCCCTCCCCTGGCCCTAGAAACAGACATTTTTCAAAAACCTGTGGTTCCTTTTAGCAAAGACTGGTATTTAGAGATGAAGATCTGGACAATGAATGTGCTCATATCCACTGGGATGTCACTACATCCTGGCCCTTTCATCAAGCAGATCAGGAAATAGCTGTTTCATTTGTGTGTGTATGTATATGTACATAGTCACATACATAGACACACTGCAACATTTCTATGTTGACATTGCTACTTATATAATTTTTACTGAAAGAAATTCTTGCGTGTACACTGATACCTAAAATTCCAGTACACAGAACAGGGTTCACTCTAGCTTCCTCCTTCTTTATATTTGTAACTTTCTTTTCTGGCAGAATGAAGTCTGGCTCCTATTACCTTCAATATTTTTGCTCATGGGTCTCACTGGGCCTCCTTGCTCAAGCTTTTTGACTAAATTATTGAAAAAAAAAGGAAGAAATTAAGGAAGCAAGCAAGAAAAGATGGCAGGCAATACCAAATTTTTGAGATCTGGTAATCTGATAAAAACAGAACCTAAAGCCAAAGACTAATTATAGCAACACAGCACCTTGGTCCCTAGCCATAGGGGAAGTACAGTTTGCAGTTGTTTTCCAATCACTTGTCATCTGTCTTTCAGTGTGTGTAAGATATAGAATTGTTCATACATTTACAAAACAATTTCAAGAACAAGGTGTCACTAACTTTTTCAAAAGAGATAAAAGGAAATTCTAACATATTGTTCCTGAACATTTCACCCCCTTCTGGTAAAGATGGGGGAAGAGAGGCCCAGAAAGGCCTCAGGGCTCAGCAGAACCCCCCGCCACAGGTTCCTGACTTTCCAGATCAGAATGTCATGTGACCTTTGAAAATCTCTTGCAAATAAGTAACCCCCACTTTAAGACATGTCCACTGAGAACATGTGACACTACAAGCGCTTGTGAGAAAAATGTATACCCATGAATGCAGCAAGCCTTTTTAAAATAATCAGAAGAGAACAGTCTCTTCCATGAGAACATTAATAAAACGCTCAAACGCTGGACTGAGAATAGAGTCCGCATTACCAGGACCTGTCCCTTACCCTAGTATTCGGAATTCCTCCAAGTCATCATAGGCATCGTCAGTCACCACAGCACCATGCACGTGAAGAAATGCAAAGTAGGGATAAGACCATCTACCGCATCGGCACACTGAACACACTGGGAGAGCTTATAAAAATATTATGTAAATGGGGAGGGACTCTACTGTTAGAAGAGGCTCTTTTTCCCTTGATGTAAATAGTTTCTGTCAATAAGCTGATTAAACCAAGTTTGTGCAACAAGGTATCAGCTCTGGCACCAAGCTTACTGGAAGCACAGTCCTAAGCAGGTCATTCCAACTTTTGGTGTCCCTGTTTCCTGCTCCTGCTCCGTAAAGTGGAGATGACAGTACTGAGTTCTCGGAGCTGGTATGCAAATTGAGTAAGAGAAAAAGTGTGTAAAGTGCTGAACATGAAGCCTGGCACCAGGCTCAGTTCATAGACGACAGCTCCTCTGTCGTCACCACCCTTGTCACAGCATGGCCATCACGGTCTCCATTATCAGAGCCATCGTCATTCCTTTCAGACTTGAACGTTGCTCACGATGCATACCACCTGTGGGAAATGAAGGCTGTTTGAAATTTGCTGTGGTTGTAAATAAAACCGAGCTCATTTCACAGTTGCAGAAGGACATTCAGGCAACTCCTAAATCACTTTGTTGTTTTTCTGGATTTAGCTTCACACAATCCTTTAAGGATTGCCCAAATATCTTGGGTCTGAAGATGTCATTTATCTTATATGATGTGACACGCTGACACCTCACCACAAAAGGCTAATGAAGAATGAAGTTTCAGACTAGGATTAAAAAACTCAAAGAAATGAGATGATTTTATGGAAAGGTGGTAAAACAGTAAAATCCTTAAAAGACTGAAAGTGGATTAGAGACAAAAACAGTCTTCAGGCAGGCTGGAAATGGTGGCTCTCTTTCCTTGGTACGTGACTCCTGATGAACTG